CTCTATCTGATCATCGTCACGAGTCGGCAAATCCTCAACATGCCGATGGTCAACAAACAACTATCTATGTGGTCCGAGTCAATGTCCACGCTGTTGATGGTTCATCACTATGGTCGCCCCACGCATGCACTCACGGAACTCAGACGCCGACTCCGACGTCTGCGCATCCACCCGAACATGTACACATTCACCCACTTCTTGCAGCCCAACGCAGTGTACTGGAAGCAGCGAGTCGAACTCCGTCCGGACCTTCCACGCTCCGTCAACCCGCAGTCAGACGTATACATTGGAAGCACCAGCATCACTTATCCTAGTCGAGAACACAATCGTAGGGCCAAGTTACTGGGTATTCAGCACGGACAGTTTATCAATGCGGAGCCGGCCCTCAGATGGTGGCACCACTTCGGCAACTATGACGAGTTTGCTACATGGGTCATCCTGACAGACTCCGACCACGCAGTCACCTGGACCCAGGAACACGCCTTGATTAGCATCTATCAGCCGTCCCTCAATTGGCCCTACATTTATCGGCGGTACAAGCGCATTTCTACCGGCTATACGGCTACCAGGTTTCTTGCAGAACAGCCCTGGTCCAGGTTCGGCAAACGCCTTTTCCTCCGCTTGCGCAGGAGGAGTTGCACAGTCTATGGCAGGAACTTCCATCGGGTGGCGCTCAAACACACCCAAGCCTGGTCCATCATCGCTCGCCTCACCTCGGAGCACATTGAATCCTGGGAGGAAGAAAAACGACTTCGTAGTGGACGGCACTCAGACTTGGATATATATGCTATATACAGGCTGTCCGGCAATGTGGAACAGCCTCACCGGCATCGAGTTCGGAATATTTTGCGAAGAGTTCTTGATTTCCGTCAACTTCAGCAACCCAAGATCAACTTGTTATTGCGATTACCGTGGCTGTCCCATCCCCATTATCAGCGGTCCACCAGGGAAGTGCTTCGTCGGCTCGTTCTCGACCACCGCAACTGGGCTCTTCCATTTCACTTGCCCAGCACGAAGTTGGCAGAGACCCCTCATCCTCGGGTTCATACAGTTATGTGGAACTTCTCGTCGTTTCAGGACTGCTACCTTCTGACATCCCCCGGACCATCATCGTGTCAGTGCGCAGCCTGGCTAAAACGTCAGCCCTGGCTATCTCACGTTCAAGGCCATGTGGCCGCAGGATTGGATGAGTTCCGTTTTCCGGGAACCCCCCACCACGTTCATTACACCTCAGCCCTGGCGTCATATTATGTGGACCTTTCAGTTTACGAAGTGCAGGTTCATGAACGCCTACGAAAATGGTGCTTGCACCATGGCCTGCCCCTGGACCAGTTCCACGCACCTCTCATGCAGCACCTACGCAGTCAATTTCAGACACATCGGCAGCACGCGTCCACCCATCAACTCCTCACCAAGCACCAGCTGAACATCTTGCATCGACACCTCGGCCAGGACTTTGTGTGCCATAACGAGGATCATGACAACCACCACCTCATGTTCTTCTGCCCCCAACTCTACTTCAAAGGCCTCCACAACACCTGGCTTCAGTCAGGCACATTTGCCGCCACTCCACTGAAGCCCGACCAAGCTGGGGCCCTTATCGTTGAAGCCATCCCCCGACACTTGCAGAAGAGGTACAAATGGGCATACAGGAAGAAGACCACCGCGATCCCGGTTGGAAAAGTCTTTCTCAAACGCAAGAAGCAATGGAAATCGGGGCGGACTATTATAGCCTACCATAAGGTGGTACATCGGCAGCTCTTTAAAGCGGTTGCAATCCTCTTAGGCGAGATCGCCGCGAGTACATGGAAGCGTTCGTGGGGGGTACACCCCACGCCGAGGATATGGCAGAACGTCAAACAATACTTTGACAACACGGAAGATACAGTCACCCTCGCATTTCACAACGACGATTTGGTCGGCTTCTTCAACAGTGTCCCTCAGGATCAGGTGTGCGCAGCAGTCGAGCAGCTATTAGCAGAGCACCGGCGAGAGCATCCTGGTCTCATCTATTCGGTGGAAACTCAGGCGGCGGTCCACCACAACCGGGTTTTTGCGGGTAAGCAGTCTTACGGACGTACGCCGACCACGCGGGTCATTTATGTGGAGGACATCCTGGATATAGTCAAATCCAGCTTCCAATGCATGTATGTCCAGGTGGGGACCCTCATTCTGCGCCAAGTCCACGGAACAGCGATTGGCTCTCAGCTCAGCCCAGTTCTCAGTCACATCTGCGTCGCGAGGCACGAAGTTCTTTGGCAGCGTATTTACGGACAATGGTTTGCCAGTCACAACATCTTCTTGGAGCGATATGTCGACAACAGATTTGTGATCTTCCCGTCTCCGGCTTCCGGTCACCCAGCAGCCCCATTGGAGGCGTTGCTTCAAGCTGACTTTTATGGTGCACCCATCGTGTTGGAACAGGTGGGTTCCTCTGAGTTCCTCGGCTTCGTGATCGACGTGGGCGACCGTGCGATTTACTACAAAACCCCAACAAAAATCTGGCAGATCAGAGGACCCCACACAGCAGGAAGTCTTTCCACCCTTCTCTCCGGGGCCAGATCACGGTCAGCCCTCGCTACCAAGTACGCGCACCCGGCCCGAGCAGTACAGATGGCGTTGGATCAGCTTCGCAGTATCTATTTGTCCGCCGGCTACAAGTCAGCTGACCTGCAGCACCTGTTTCATCTTCCGGCCATCCCAACCGGAAAGAACGTTTGAGTGCCGATTGTCTTTGTTTTTCGATGTTTGGTTGTGTGGCTCGCTCTTGTTGGTTTTGTTCTGTTTCGGTCTTCTCCCAAACCGGGTCTGGCTCGGTTGGGCTGTTGCGCTCGGGTTTTCTGTTTGGGTTCCGGGGTCCCTTGACTCTTGTGTTTATCACGGAGCTTGTCTGGTGGTTCAAGACGTGGGCCTTCTCGCCGACATCGGACAGCGGTCGTCATGCTCGGACGCATGATAGCACTTCACCACCGGATGACCCAGAACGCTGCGGACATGATGCAACTCATCCAGGAGACTCTGAATCAGGCTGACGAGGCACACAGTCGCAGGCTTCACGGCGGGCACGATCGCGTGCGGCAGCAACATGTCCGAGGTCTGTCGCTGGCAGAATCATCGCGACCGCGAGCACACGATCATGCTGGATTCGATGAGGTGGAACCACCTGGCCCCGGGATTCTGAATTCGGCCAACTCGGAGGATCTGGCCGACCCTCCACCACCAGTCGACTTTCAGTCACTCCAGCTACGGACTACAAGCACAGCGCAGTGACCAACCCCAAGTCGTTGTCCTACGGCATCCTCACGGGGGACGTCAACGAGGCTATAGACCCGCGCCCGAAGAGCTCCATGGCGCCCGCCTATGCTGGTCAGCTGAGCATCAAGAAGGCCAATATTCCCAGTTCTATCATGGACAAGGGTGGGACCGATCGACGCAGAACAAAGAGGAAGCGATGCCGCGATACATCCTCCGAGAAGACGAATTCCCCGAAACCTCCAGCACGTCCGGCACCTCGCACTCCAGCGCCAGCTCCGGTCTCTCCTTGCGCGGGCCTGTTCTCCTCTCCTGAATCCCTTCCTGAACCTCCTGCTCGTGCTCACTCCGATGCCGGCAACCCAGGAACTCCCCCGGAAGTACCTCGCGCCTGGACAGAGGAAGATGACCAGCAGCTTTGCAGCCTGAAAGCCGACAACCGGTCCAAGTACTCGTACAAATCGCTGGCCAAGAAGCTCAACCGGTCCATCGCGGATGTCACGCAGCGCTGGAAGAGCCTGGAGCGCCTCAGGAAGGTGAAGGAACAGCATCAGAAGGCAACAATCTCGAACCAATGCACCTGAACCCAGGCGGTGATGCCTCATGTCAAAATGACCGCGAGTAATTGAGCATAGGCAGGAGTTCCACAAACGGACTAAATCACCCATCGGGAATCATGATGGAGGCGGCTTTCAGAAGTTGGACGTTCTTCTGAGTGTTGAGTTTGGGGCCGTTTTGTGGTTTTTCCCCCCTGTGGGGGGTGTGTGTGTGGCCCCCCTGTTCCTAAGGGGTTCTGCGATCGTGCCTCTCTTTCTGTATTGGAGTATGCCCATGCCAGCAAACCGACCCCTTTCTTAGTACCTCGTCGCGGTAGTCATGGGCACTGACGAGTAGCCGCGGCGAGCGAACAGATCGGGAAGGCTAGCTGACGAAACTGCACTTTTCAGGTACTTGGGGATGCACCCTTGCATTGTTGCCGTCTCATATCAAGTGTGTGTTTGGGCTTGGGCTTGTGCTTTTGCTTGTGTTGTGTCTGTGTGTGTGTGCTTATGTTCATGTTTGTTTGTGCTGTTTTTGTGTTTGTGTCTGGAGGGTACTCTTTCAGGCTTCTCTAAAGCAAAGCCAAAATTCAAAAAATCGACGCCATTTGCGGGGTCCCCCTATTCAGATACATCTTGCCCAAAGGCGGAGCGATTTATGGAAACATGAGCTCGTTAAATGCTGCGAGAAAGACCGGGCTTCCGTCCTCCAAGCTGACAAATGGCTATGGGTCAAAATCCCGTACCCCCAGTCAACATCCCAATCCCCACTAAAATAGACTAAAATGGGTGGTGCACCTACCCCAAAATGGGATCCCAAAGCGGTTTTGACAACCACAGCCAAATGGGTTCTATGCCCCGCGCAGAACTTCCGTTTTCGCAGTGTCCCTTGATTTAGCAGGTTGAGTCCAAAGGAATGCGGGCAAGGTCGACAGCCATGGCTGGATGGAGCCATGTGGGTTAAATGGAAACCGCCCGTAAACCCCAACAACCTAAAAACCTAAAGGGGACGGCTTGGGAACCGCCAAGGAACATGCTCCAACTCTGGGTCGATTAAAGTGACAGCCTCAAGCAAATCACTCGAAGTGGTTTCAAGGAAAACACAAACCAACCGCAATTTTGAGAACCACTCGAAGTGTTCACCGGCAAAGGCCACGCCAAGAGCTGTCAACCCCCGCACCTTTTGTTTGGAGTTCTCAGCCGAGGCACCTGCAACCATTTGGAATCGCCATCGGTAGTGAGAAGGCTGTTGTAAGTGATCACCTCGGCAAAAGTCCAGGTCATTGGTCATCTTCGGAGGTCCCGGAGTCAAAGGTTGATCTATTTACTGGTGGTTTCACTTAAAGGAAAAACCACCATGTTGGGGTCTCCCCTTGCTCTGGCTCTGAATGCGTATGGGAAAAACGAGGAGCACGCAAGCCGCATCTGAATGGTCTAAACCGGAAAACGGAGATGCAGAATCGAGGCACTGAACAAACGCACTCTGGACTTGTTGCTTCGCACTGTGTTCAAAGCCCCAAGAATTTCACAAGCTTCAAGCAAGGGAAACTGATGACGAGCTGATGGAAGCATACAAAAAAGCTCGTCGCAAAGCAAACGACCGCGCGTTCGCGGCCGCGAGGCGCTAGCTAAGGTTTAACTGGGTGAATCAACATACATCAAGGTGACAACTTCGGACACTCAAAAAAGGTTGAACCTGATTCTGAAAACAACAAATGCGCTCCAACAAGCGGGCATCCCGCATGTCGCTGTAAAGCTGCTATTGAACGGACTGAAGCACGCGCCCTTCGAGCCCGTTCAATCTAGGGAACCTCAACATGATCGATTTCCTTTGGTGATAATTACTGTAGAATCAACCGAACGGGGCTGCTAAGCCTCAAACAAGTCGAGCCCAAATTTCTGTGCAAGACACATCCGGCACCAGGCGACTACTTGGCATCGCTTGTGCCAGGTCCAGGGCCTGTCGCCAGCACTCCACCGCCAAAGTCGCGACGGCGCTGTTGTAGCTGATGACGTGCGGAGTGGCCGGGGACATGTGGCGCAAGAGTTGGCAGGCATAGGTCCAAGGGCAACCTTGCAGACTAAAGAGCTATGGTAGAATCAAGCATGTGATTCTCCTCACATGGGCCTGCCCCAAACCAGATGATCCGGGAATCACAGGCGATTACGTTTTCGGACCCCGAAACTGGCCCAAAAGGTCGCAAGAGAATCAACAGGGAACCTCTGGGCCTCCTGGAAGACCACTCTGACTTCAAAGGGACCGGGTAGCTGCCAGGTGCCATGTGGCCATGGGTCAAAATCCAAATCGTACCCCCAGTGAACATCCGATTCAATCCCCACTAAAATAGGTTCTAAAATGGGTGGTGAATTCACCTACCAACCAAACTGGGATCCCAAAGCGGTTTTGACAACCACAGCCATGTGTCGCTTTTGCAGGGCAAACAAGCTCAAAGGCGTGGGTTCGTTTGGTGAGGCGCAGGTCACGCAGGTGCTGAAGCTGAAGATGTCCGGCAGCAGCTGCACGGCGGCCATGCCAAGAGGGAGGCTCAAGGCGAAGGTCCAGCAGCTCTTGCACCTCGAGAGGCCATGCGAAGGAAGATTTCGGGCAGCTGCGCTTTGGTTGACTTAGGGAAACCCAAGGGGGGTTCAAGGGAAACAAGGGGTTTGTAGGTTGATTTTAAAGGGAAATGCCAGGACCCCCAAGGGAACCCTTGGGTTTGATAGTTGATTTGAAGGGGAAACCCAAGGGCCCCCGGTTTGTTGTTTGTTGTTGTTTTGGGAACCCCTTTCCCACACAAAACATGGGTGCCACTGGTAGAACGGTGGGGCACGCACTGATGGCGCAGTTGTAGCTGATCACGTCTGGATCCTGCAGGAACTGCATGGCAAGCAGCCACTGACCATAAGCCGCAAACCGCCTCGCAGGGGTTGAAAAACTTGCTGGCGCGTAGGAAATGACCGAGTCCGGGTTTTGGGAATGAACCGGAAGGGAATCCCTTGGAGGAAACCAAATCGGGGATCTCATTCCCTGCCTATCAAACCAGCAAGAAAAATAGAACAAACAACAGGCTCCCTACATGTCCCTTGAAACATGACTCCCAAGGGACACCTTACATGGGTGCGGCTCAACAATAGGAACCCGCCCAAAATGGAACCCTGCTAAATGGAAACCTTCACTAACAATCTGCGGTCCCCTGGTTCCTTGATTTTGAGCCATAACCAAATTGGGCAAACATGGCTAAACAAGTGATAGTCAAAACCAGCAAAGTGAAATATAGATACATGGCTGGCTTGCCAAACTCCAGCAAACACGTCGCACGTTCTTTTACCTAGGATATTGTTTTTTAGATAACCCCAACAAATGGGTGGGTCTTCCTTTTGGTGTTCCTTTGAAACAAAAAAAGAGCAAACACGAAACAGGAACCACACCCAAATAGGATATTGTGCGGTTCACATGGGCGTTGGTCGAAATTCTTTTGTTTTTTTTTCGCCTTCCGGCGCCCTTTCGCGAAACTTACGCTTTCTTTCGCGCCCACAGTGGGGCGCACATGGTCGACAACCCTCGGTCGACAACACCACTAAAGCGTCAAAAGCCTGCTTTGGGAACCAACAACCCAACCCGAATGCTATTTTCCAACGCCTAAAACAGGTTTTGGGGTGCTAGTCTGTGTATTCTCAAGGAAAGACTCATTTGAACACGTTTGGACACTTTTGGCTCCTGCAAACCAACCCAACACCTGCGCAAATGTTATTTTCCAGTGCCCAAAACAGGTTTTGGAGGTGCCTGGTCTGTATTCTCAAGGAAAAGACTCGTTTGGACACTTTCCGCCCCTTGGCCTGCAAACCAACCCGGAACCTGCCCAAATGTTATTTTCCAGTGCCCAAAACAAGTTTTGGGCGCTTTCTAGTCTGTACCCTCAAGGAAAAGCTCATTTGAACAATTTCGGCCCCTTGACCTGCAAACCAACCCAACACCTGCCCAAATATTATTTTCCAGTGCCTAAAACAGGTTTTGGGGGGGGCCCTGGTCTGTATTCTCAAGGAAAAGACTCGTTTGGACACTTGGCCTGCAAACCAACCCGGAACCTGCCCAAATGATATTTTCCAGTGCCCAAAACAAGTTTTGGTGGCTTCCTAGTCTGTACCCTCAAGGAAAAGACTCATTTGAACAATTTTGGCCCCTTGACCTGCAAACCAACCCAACACCTGCCCAAATATTATTTTCCAGATTCTCAAGGAAAAGATTCGTTTGGACACTTTCCGCCCCAAACCAACCCGAACCTGCCCAAATGTTATTTTCCAGTGCCCAAAACAAGTTTTGTGGGCTTCTTAAGGAAAAGACTCATTTGGACACTTTTGGCTGGTCACTGCCCAAATATTTTGCAGCGCCCCAAAACAAGTTTCGGGGGCTCTCTAGTGTGTACCCTGAAGGAAAAGACTCATTTGGACACTTTCGGCCCCTTGGCCTGCAAACCAACCCAGAACCTGCCCAAATGTTATTTTCCAGTCTTGAAAATTTTGGGGGTGCCCTGGTCTGCATTCTCAAGGAAAGACTAACCTGGCCAAATCTTATTTTCCAATGCCAAGAAACAGGTTTTGAGGGTGCCCTGGTTTGCATCTTGTGGACCAACCCCGAAACAGGCCCAAATGTTATTTGGCCTTGGCCGAAATAGCTTTTGGGCAACCCCCAACAACGGCATACCAACATGCAGGGGCGAGGGGCACATATGGCATAAACAACAGTCCAAAAGCTATTTCTACAGCATTGAAAAATGTTCACACCATTCAGAGTGCTAAATCAGCATCCTTTATCATCATTGTGGCCAGCCCTTTCGCCAAACCTTCCGGCGCCCACTCGCGACCTTTCGCGCGCGCAGCGCCAGAACACATGAATATGCTCCTTACTAAACTTTTACACATGGGTTTTTGACCGTCGCCCACATGTAACTTCGTCTCCCGGATTTCCCCTCCAAAAAGATCGATGGACTGGCGGTGTTTCTATGGCCACTTTTGGAGGTTCTATAGGTTCCACAAAGCGGGAAATGCAGGAACCTCCGTTTGCCCATCTGAAAACGTGTCCTGGGCTGAGAAAAAATCCCTCGAAACTTGCGCCCCCCAGGCGCACGCGACCCACACCTGTGCTCTTGGAACCTCCGGGGGCCGGGCCCCGGGCCCCGAACTCCCGGGCCTCGTCGCGCGGCTGAGGCAAATCCTATCCGGGCGCAGCCGTCGGCGCCGCATCCGCGCCAAGAGCTGCAGCACGTCCGGCCAAGCGAGACCCGCCTGAGCAGATCTCGCGTGGCTCGATGGCTCTGGTGGGCAAAACCGTTTTGGGATCCCATTTTGGTTGGTAGGTGCATTCACCACCCATTTTAGAACCTATTTTAGTGGGGATTGAATGGGATGTTCACTGGGGGTACGATTTGGATTTTGACCCATGGCCACATGACCGGACCCCCGAATGGCGCAACGGTGTTCCTTCGGTTGGCTCTCAAATAATAACCAATAGAAGGGTACCCTCAAATAAAAACACACCCGAAAGGGCCCCAGTTATGCATCCCTTCTCATAGCAAGCGGTCTCAAAGTACCGAACATACGGTTGTGGGAGCGCACATGTGAAGGCCTCCATCCCAATGAGTCAACCCTTCAAAGCCTCCACTTCCAGCCCTTAAACGTCTTAGAATGCACAGCCCTGGATTTTGTTGCACGGAGATTCCAATCCACGCCGACCCTTCGCGGGGTGAAACCCATACCTCAAGCCTCGGACTCAGCCTTAAATCAGACAGTTGAGTGGTGCCGGTAAACATCTGTCACCAGGGTTCCCCTTGACTACCCCAGACTTCAACCCAAAGTTTTCCCCTGGGGCAATGAGCCACCTACCCTGTGCTCCGAAAGGAACGCTGTTGATTGTTTCTGACAAATCGCACGGCCCTTCCAAACAGAAATCCGCCGTCCCGTCAGGTTTCAGGGTCCAACAAATGCTCCTTGAAAAGCATCACACGTCAGGCGAAGCCCTAATCTTAACCTGACCCAAAACTGACTTGCTGAGTGGATGGCAAGTCCAAAAAGAGTCCAAACTTTATATTTACCACTAAAATGGCCTTCCCAAAAAGTTTAAAGTTCATGAACTCTGAGAAAAGGGTAAGGCATGAATCCAACCAGAAACTCGGACCGCGGCGTTTTTGCCGTGCCTGGATCACCGTACAGCGCGCCACATCCAACTCCACACGCCGCCCAAAAAGCGCCTCGAGCGCACCTGCGGACGTCGTCCGGACAGTTTGGCCTTTCCCTTGATTGAGACAAAAGCCACTGGACCAGAAAACACGATTTGAGAAGTGGCCATGGCTCAAAACCCAAATTGTACGCCCAGTGAACATCCCAATCCCCACTGAATGGGTGGTGCACCTACCCCAAAATGGTACCATTATTTTTGGCCCACGGCCAAGTGTTGCCTTTGGCTTAGTATTCACCCAAAAGCTCAGTTGGGGTGTGGCCCAAACGGCCACATGAACGCGCACACACACACACACAAAAAAAGAAAGAAAGAAAGAGAAGTCAACGAAGAGTCAATGTCCCTGCGGAAGGCTTAAACCTCAAGGCAAGTGGCCCACTCAAGCCCCTTACTTGTGACGGCCGGCCAGAAGCTGGAAAACAAGGCATCCTCTCTGAAAGTCGATGCCGCGCTGGGAGTGCAGTTTCTGGTGCATGGCCCGCTGGAGAGACAGGGGGCTATGTTTCACAGGCCGGAGCCCTTCATTGACACTGCTCGACCTGTTGCCATGATCCTTCCAGGTTGCGTCCCTCTCAGAACTGGCCTACCCCTCATTGTTGGATGTCCTAAGATCATGGTGGAAGTCGTTTACATGGGTCTGTAAAAAGAAACTGCTCCTTCACAAATGTGCGCTGGCAGTTCCCTGCACCAGCGAGTCTCAAACACAAAGGACAAGCTTCAACCTGGTCGGTCGTTCTTTTTGTGGGTGCCCTTTTTGGGGTTGGCGTTGAAATGGAAACCAAAAGGGGAAATTGCCATTTTGGGAGTCCCACCCAAAAAAAAAAACCCACGAATTGGTCAAGCCATGCCCACGCCTTGGCCATCCCTCGCCATCGCACGCGGCCATGGCGCGGTCAACGCGCTCGCGTCGCCGAAGCGGCGCGGAGCTGCGCTGCGGCGAGCCGGGGATGCTTGAGCCGCCTGAGTTGCCCCATAGATCGCGCCGCTGGAAAAACGAACCGACCTCGTAAACTGCACCGGTGGGCTGCAAGTTGTCCAAGCAGTTGATGTAGGTTCAAGTTGATTGACGAAGACTGTCCAGTGCTTCCCAAGCTTCAGTTGGCCTCCAGACCCTGCCAAATGTCACAATCATCTTCCCGACCCCACGGCGCCTGCGCCACCGTGAGCAGCCTCCGCAAGGCCACCACATGGCCGCGCACCTGGCACGCTGCAAGAAATCTTCGAACCAAGTCGGTCGCTCTGTGTTCCGAAGCATTCCGGACATCGAGCTCCCAACAAATGGTCGCGTGCCCTTGGCCAACTGACCGGAAGGCTCCATCCTGAGTTCCCACAGTGTGGCAGCCGCTTGCCATTCCCAGGTCAGTTGTTTCTCTGTCGACCCATGGTGGATTTAGCTTACGAGCTATTGAACGTGTTGTCATTGCTTTAGCCTTGGTGCAACATGCGATGAGAGACAAGTGTGGCAAAGGTGCCATTTGGCAATGCAGTTGTGAGTTGAACCGTTCAACAGGCTGCATCGCCGACCACATATGTGTTTCTTCTTTTTTTTTTGCGGAAGAGGGGAAAAAGCCCTTTAAACACGTTTTAAACGTGCGGGAGGGAGGAAACTCGGAACGGGCCAACGGGTTTGGGCTGAGCCCAGCACCTCCTCGTCATCCATGGAGCTCTTCACCCGGCTGGCGTTGAGCCGCTGCGCCGTGCGCGCCTGGCTCGGCGAGGTTTCCCCAAAAGACGTGCGGCACGTGCGCGGGGGCTCGGTTTTGCAGTGTTTGGTTTCCGCCCCCCACCCCCCCCCTAAAGAAGTTCGGCACCTTCAAGTTCCATACGTCATAGGGGCAAATCAAAGGGGATCACGAGCAAATGTCCGAAATTCGGCAAAACTAGACACTGACTGGCCTGGTATCCTTTAGGGGAGGGGGGAAACGACACTGCAAAAGAAACTCAAGCCCGCGGACACCATCGACGTAGTAGGCCACGTATGGATCGGTTTTGTGTTTGAGGGGAATCCGTTTGGGGCTTTGTTTTTCGAGTTCGACAAATTGTTTTCGCGAAGCCCAGAGCAAGCAACAGGTGAAGACCTATGACGAAGTCCTTGTTCAAGCTTCGATCCTCTCCACTTAAAATCACATGACTAGCCCTACGTGTTCTATCTGCACACAACGGACATTGAGCAACGTGTATCAGAAGAGGCCAGCTCTCTCGAGAAGACTTGTGTGGCCATTGCAGAAAAAATCCGTCCCTACTACCCTCCCACCAACTAACATGAAACCTGACAGGAAGGTCCTGCAAGACCATTTTCCTTTTAAAGGGACGCAGGTTCCATGACAATTGGTGGGAGGGTATGTACTCTAACATCAAAACAAGCGACTTGCAAAAGCAATGAATGATGAGCATAGCATTTAGCGTTGCAATGCAGATCAGTCAATCCATCTTCCTTTTGCAAAGGTAGGGTGAAAGTAGATGGCACAGTGCCCCGGGTAAGCAAAGGGGATGACTAAACCAAAAGAATTGTTGTGCCATCTCTCACCCGACTCATGGAACGTCGAAGCCATGAAACGCAGCTTCAAGGTTCACGTTCTCCGACCTTCGCAGGACAGATTGACCAAGGTTCCCAAATATGGGGTTGGACCCCCAAAACGGTGGTCCTTTTGGTTTCTCGGTAAACCAATCCGGGTGTGGGTCACAAATAGGGGAACCCCGAAATGGAACCCCGCTAAATGGAAACAAGGACTCAACCCTTCGGTCCAATTCCTGGCGGTTCAATTTTGACCCATACCCATCTGAGAGGGGCCCTCAAGAAGCACACTGCCCCGATGAAATCATCTCAAAATCATACACCCCACCGTCGAAAGCCCTCACGGCGCGTAGACCCAATGCCGATCCGGGATCGCGCCTGCTTCCACCTGCAACCGGCTGGAAACTCACCAAGTTGCGTGGGTGCATACGCACATCTTGGGGCAATGGACATGCCAAGCATCTCACAAATAGCTCAAAGCTTCATGTGGCGTCGGGCGGCCTTCGGGCGACCTCTCAGCTGAGAAGATGTCAACATGGCATTGAAACATCATCTTCCAGCACTTCTTATGGCCCTCACAGCTTCCGGCTGTACCCCCGGATTGTCTTTCTCGCATGGCTAGCGTCCCATCTTGGGACCCAAGGCACTCAAGGTGCGCACGGGACAAAGGAACCTCGCAGGGGGGATCCTGGTTTGGACCATTTCCTTTAAAGGGCCCAGCCATGCCCAGCCCAACTTGAAAAAAGACAGGGCAGACGGAGCAAAAAATCGGGAACCCCTCAGTTGTAGATTTGGATCTGAGCCTCTTCTTGTAGTGGGCGCGGCAAATGGGACCCCCTCCCTGAACCAGCAAACCATCAATGCCTAGCAAGACTGAAAAAGGAAACTCCCTCCCTCAAAGGGAAGCATCCAAACCTAAGGGTGCCTAACAACATCCCGCGGTCTCAGCATTCTTCCAGCTCAGCCGGTTCAGGTGTCCCTTTCTTGTTCCGGTGCAACAAGTAACTTCCCCACTTCCAGGGATCCGAGGCTTTCCAGAAACCCGCCCCACCAAGACAAAGGGAGATCCTCGCCCTCCCGGAACGGAAAGCCACACAGGTCGCCCTCAACCCCCCAAATCGTCACATCCAACTCGCCGCCCAAACCGCGGGCCCCTCGCCCCTCAGCCCCTCCGCCCCTCCGCTCGGGACCCGCGCATTCGCCCGCGCTCCTGGCCGGTCATACCGTCCATGCCGCCTTCCATGAGGGTGGGCACCTGGCCAAACCGTGCGACCGACCGCGCTGCGAGGCAGACGTGGACGGGAGCAAGCTCCGAGTGGTGCGGCTGCGAACCCGTGGGATGAACAAAAGAACTAGTTGATTTAGAGGTGGGCCTGGGATTTGAGACTAAAAGAACTGATTGACTAGGGGCTGGCATTTGAGAGGGGCTCTAATCATTGGTGGCAACAACATCTATGTCCCCCCTGCTGCGGAAGCTGAAGGAAGGGTGGTTTCGCAAGGATTTCACAAGAAAGAGGAAAGAAAAAGCCCGGGCTGACTCGAGAGACCCAGCCATCCCTCCCGCATCATGCTGTGTCGTTTGATCTACGGGGTTGGATTGCATTGCTAGATCCTGGACGCGTGGGACATGTGGAACTACCCAGCAGCCGAAATCGTGATCAAAGTGCCAAGACAACTTTGTGGAACAGCTGGCTTACTTTTTCTATTGACGTCACCGCCTCCCCAAGCCTGCTTTAAGTCTAGCAGGGATCACCAGGTTGATGCAAGCTTATGTAGTAGTTGGCCATTGCTTTTCTGGCACCCGAGCCGATGTTCAACCACACGTATGTTGTTGGATCCGAAGCGAACAATGTTGCATCCATAGGTGACCTTTTGATAGATGGCCCTGGTCAATGGAAGAAAACCCATCAAGACCAGGGCAACCCATCTATTCTGTACAAACCAACCTAAAAGGCCCCCCTTGATTTCACGATGCGGCAAAAAAATGGCGACACCTGGGCCCTGATCCAATGGCGTTCTGTCCGAATGGGCGTGCACACCAGACCTCCCGATGAGGGGACAGAACAAGCTTAATCGACTATCATGGATGAAACCGAAGAGGACGCCTGAGAAACGATGACGGTTCAGTTAATATAGCTGACCTCGTTTGCCTATCCATCTTACCCAAATTTCCTGAGCCAAGTCACTCGCAAATTCATATGCTATGTGTGCACCACGTACCACAATCAAAACGACCAAGCACTTGCAGAGAATCAAATACAACAACTCCAATCCACCACAGAGTCGCCAGACCACCAACGCACAAGGAGACACAGAAGAAATGGCAAAATCGCTAGAGGTCGCGCCCGGGCCACCCTTCCAATCCCCTCGCGCCTCTGAGTGCCAAGCTTTGTTGCCGATGGCCAAATCCAGGTATGCCTGCGAAGCACAAGCTGCCCCCCCTTTTGTCGGAGGTCAACCAGGAGGACATCAAGCTGTTTCTTTCATGTAAGGAGCGAACCAAAAAGCCCTACAAGTCGCCTGTCTTAAGCAAGGCTGAGAGTGTTGCAGACAGCTTTCCTGGCACCGGCATTGGACCCGATCCGTTGATGGGTAGTGTCAACGATATGCAACCCTGTCCTGTGCAAGCATTAAAAGTGGGATGCCAGGGGGCGGGGGGGGGGGGGGCACTTGGAGAGTTTGTGCGGCCAGATTGCAACTCTTGTGGAACTTGGCTTTTGAAAGTTTCTGCCACAAGTCTTCATTCAGCAATGGGCTGAAGTGGTCAGCTCAAGTCGGGGCATTTCCCGCCCCTTTCGGTGGAGATCTCTGAGTGCCCAAAGGAGCGCCAAGCTGATTCCACCAAATTCCTGCTCATGATTGACCCCTTGGTTCCCATTCACAGACCGAATCATGGCGGGTTCACGTGATTTCCATGCCACTAACTGGTCATTTCTTTTGCTCCTCGCTTCTGAGTCGCAGCGAGCATTGATGGTTCCAGCGGGTGGTAGCACCTTCGAGTAAACCAAACAGCATGCATTTTGACTAAAAACGCTGAAGCTCGAGTTGTTTGTCATATTGCTGGAACCTCATCAAGCGAGCAAAAGCAAAGCGATGCCAAGTGGACCTCTGGAGTCCTGTTGGCTACTCAGGCAGCTGCAAGTGCATAGCACCCGTGCGGATGATGCCCCAACTTGGAAAGCAAATTGCCAATGGCAAATATTGCGAATGCCCGTCTGCTGCAAAGCAAGGTCGAACCGTGGGGAGAATGTTCAGAATGTGTATGTAAGCTAACCAAACGGCACCGCACAAGCACGCGATAACTCTTTTATCCGAGCAATGTGTTGGTGCCAGGGACTCATCTTCCCCTGTCAGATGTCAACGGCTGGGTGGGCCCCATGGGCCACCCACCTCAAACTCTCAAAAACTGAAGAACGGGTGTGCAGACTGATAGCGCCCGCCCCTGAGCCGGGGCCCGGGGCACCCAGGCCACAGGGGGGTCTGCCACCAGGGGAAGTGAGTCACCCACCGGCTCCGGTCACGGGAGCATGGGTGGGCCCACGCTAAGATCAAATGCATCTCCATTCAGGAGACGCGGGAGAAAAACGAACTCCTCGCAGAGTTCCTGTTTGGGGACCCTGTGCAAAGGGTCGAACCCAGAGAAATCTGGGTGCGTCAGTTCATCAGCCCACTGGTTGAATTCCCGGGGCACGTGGTTGGCCGCCAGCGAGCAGCCATGGGTGTGGAGCAGGAAGACCAGCTCCATCAGGATCGCCGCGGTGTAGGGCTTCTTGGATCCAAGGTTGAGCATCGCCATGACGTTGCCCTGATTGTCACTGCCCACCGGGAGTCGGACCCGGGAGGACAGAGGGCCTTGGTGCGTGAGGATCATGTTACAGAGGAAGAGCGTGCCCAGCATTTCCAAAGCCGCAATCCTCCGCTTGGGATCCCCATTCTTGAATGCCCAAGGGTACTCCTCCACGTGGATCTGCTCGTGGAACCAGTACACCTCCTTCTTTTCCGGCTCCATTTTGTTGGAGCACCATCCTCCCACAAATGCCAGTCCTTCGTCCGAGGCGCTAGCATCGCTGCAACCCCACCAAGAGGACTTCGGCAAGTAAGGGGAGTACTGGACGAAGGGCGTGTTGAAGAGGAACCGCAGCATGAACGCCAGCATCCTGACCACCTTGGGGGGTTTCCCCACCGTGGTGGTGGCCATCTTCCAGGCCCAAAGTGGCTGAAGCATCGACTTCGCCAGCGGACATGCAGCAGTTGCCCATTGGATGCGGCCCAGGGCCTTCTCGATGTCCTTTGAGTGCATCGCCTGCCCTTCCACCATGGTCTGCAAGACCTCCATCACCAGGATGTGTTTGTTGGCGGCCATGAGAACCTGCGGGATGTTCGGGTGGACCACGAAGCCCAGCCACGTGTTGACCTCCGCCAAATGTGTCTTCTTCCAGCTAAGCGGGGTGCCCAAGGCCAGGAGTGTTGCCAACAGCGCCACCGCCAAGTTTACTGCCCCCTCGCTGCGAAGCAGCCACAGGAAGTCATCCACAAAGACGAAGTTCCAATCCACTTGAGGGAAAAGTGCGTAGAGGACCCTGAGTAGAAGGGCTGCCAGGCGTCCCCAGTAGGATTGGGCACTGGCCATGCCGTATGTGCCTACCTTGTTCACCCACCATTCTTCCCCCAGTGAAGCCACCTGGAACCGCCAGTCCTTCCTGAGGACCTTCACTCTCCGGTGGGCCTTGGTGACGTCCGCCTTGAGCAGCACCCACCTGGTGCCCGGCTCCGGCCATAGCCAGCCCCCAGGTGCAGGTTTGACGACCTCCTTCTCGGGGCCAGGGGCACCCTGAGAGGGAGGTCCCTCCGCAGCTGCCGCATGTAGCCAATGAAGAGCTTGTACCCCATCCAGCACCGTCGGAGCCGTTGTCCTTTCCACCGTCTGGTTCCTGATGGTGTCATTGGCCCCGCCCACCGAGCCATCGTAGATGGTGCGGATCTTGTCCCCTTCGTCGATGCCCGCTAGGGGGCCGGGACAAAGGTCCTCAATCTCGCAGCCACAGCGCGATGCTGCCTCCACCTTGGTGAAGGGGCCCTCTACCATGGTCGTGGGGACCTCCTCCAGGAATGTGCCACGGATGAGCTCACTGAAGTGATCCGCCGAAGGGTAGTTACCCCGATTCGTGGGAGGAGGGAGTTCGTGGAACTCCGGCCCCTTTTAGCTCCTTCTTGAGTGGCCAGATGCCCGGCGAGGCCAGGGGTGGGTCCGTGACCCCCAGTCAGACCCCTTGTTCCAGATCCTGAAAAAAAACTGGTGGTCGGGCGCCAGGATCTCCCTGATATCCTCCAGCAGGTCCTCCGGGAAGGGATGTGACCCGTCCCCCAACGAGAGCGACTCCTGGAGCTTGTCCCCCCATGGCGATCCGAGATCTCCATGCAATGGCGTGCCCATGGCTCAGGGGAAAGAGTTCCACCCCGAAGTTCGACCATCCCGCCAGCCGGCTGTGTTGGTGTCCGGACCTCCGGATTGTCTGAGGCCGAGACCGGAAGTGAGCCCAAGGTTAGTCCCGCCAACGCTTGTTGGCCGGCCATCAGCCTCCGGGACTGGCGCTTGTTGTCCCCCGGCGTGCTGGGAGAAGGTTCCCTCTGTCGCCTCGGGGGGGTCGTTGGGTTCGCCTGGGGCACCATGCCCCCCGGCCTCAGCGCCTCCAGGACGGGTCCCGCTCTGCAAAGGATGGCCGCTGCGAGACCCTGCATCATCTGCTCTGGATACCGGCTGAGGTCACTGGAGTTGAGCTTTTCCCCGGGGCCTCCTGCGTACCGGGGCCGGTGGCACCCAGGCGATCGTAGCCGGCCCCCTCCTCCAGAGCCCATATGACCTCTTTGCTGGGGACCACCGCCTTGCGCTGTGGCCTGGTGACCGTGTCCGTGAGCGCCTCTTCCAATGAGCTCTTCTTGGACTTGAGGCGATGGAGCTCGTCTATCTTCAGCAACCCGAAGGTCTTGGAAAACCAGGGTGTTCCACACCTGCCGTAACTTGCACGGGGTGACCTCCTCTTCGGCGAGCTGGTTAAGGAGAGAGCGGACATGTCGTTCCTGCCATGGAATCACTGTGAAGCCTCTCTTCCGGAGACTCTCGTAGACCAGGCAATGTTGCCTGAGTGTCCGGAACCTGCTGTCCCCCAAGAGGTCCAATGCCTCCTTGCGGAAGTCCTCCCCCAGGATGTCCTGCATGTATGCGATGTGCTCCGCAAAAGGGGCGAAGTGGGCCAGGAGCCGTTCCGCCCATTTCCCGCGCATATGGAGTTCCAGCGCTCGCTGGGTCGTGGGCTCCATTTCCCTGATTTTCCCCGGCCGCCAGTGCCTCCACTTCAGAAGCTCCGGTTGTTGGAGTGGGGGTGGGTCATCTCGTGAGAACCACCTCAGTTGGTCCTGGCGGTCCCATTCATTCTCCAGCAAGGAAAAGTCGGCTTGCCATCCGCAGTCCCATGAGGAGGAACCATAGGCTATCCCATAGGTCGGCCAGGTCCGCCGCGGACAGAGGCTGCCCGCCGCCGACGCCACCAGGCCGTTGAAGTAGTCCGTCGGGACCACTTGGTCGTCTTGCCCTACCGGAATGAGTTCCAGGAGCTGGGCGAAGCGGACTGCCGGCTCCCCGCCCAGCTTCCTCCCCTCCTCCTCCGTGCCATGGCGCAGGCACATCAGGACCAACAGCTCCCCGTCCGTCTGTCTCGGAGAAAAGGACTCATCCGCCAATGTGTCCCATAGGACCCTTGGAATGCGGTCCCAAAGACGTGTGTAAGGCGGGCGCAAAAGAAACTTGGTAGAAACCCTAGCCATGAGGAAAAGGGGGGTTCGAGCCTCCTATCGAACGGCCGGGACCCAACCGCGGCACAATGCATGCATGTTCCAAACGCGCAGAATGCCGAGTGCAGATGGAGCAGGCAGGCCACACGCAGCCCGACAGGACCAAAAGTCAACCCCCGGAAATCCCCAAAAGCACGGAGGGGGGAGACCAACCAGGCGGGGGATTCCCCAAAAACCCCAAGGGGACCTCAAGGAAACCAAGAGTCAGCCGCAGCCACTTTTTCCGAACCGTGGCTCATATAGATCGCGGCAATCCGGCTGTCGTGACGTGTTGAACAGGGGGGAAACAATGGTGAAAGATGAACCCAAAAGGAGACACCCTTACTCCTCCCCCCACCCGAGACGGGGCCAAAAGGGCTGTGAGACACGACCTAGCGGCTCTCACCCTCCTCCTTTGCCACCGAGTGGATGGCCGCCAGCCCCGACTTCTCCGGGTTGCTCAAAATGACCGACCACAAGGCAGTGGAGACATCCCCCAAGCCATTCGAGGAGCTGAAGCGCATGCGGGGGGTGCTCGCATCGCCCAGGACTAGCCGCTCGTCCCTGGGAGGCTCCGTCGGCTCCACCCTCTTGTAGAACTCCATCCTGTCACGGATCCACTGATTATATAGCTGCTCCGGGGGCTCGGGATCCAGGTCGGCTTGCCCTCCACGATGAGTAGGTGATGCCGTCCGCCTCATAGGTGGCCGAGGGTGCCTGGAAGGGGACGAACTCCTTGCCTGGGCAGACCCAGCACTGCTTGGCTGCCTCTGGCCACCCCGTGCCGCATGCCTTGCACATGAACTTGTAATCGGAATGGCCTGCATCGAGCCTGTGCATTCGCTGGGTGCCAATGCACGCCTTGTTCCGCTGGAACTGCGAGGCCCAGACCTCCTCCTGCCGGATCTGGATCTTCATCGGGACATAGGCCTCCAGGATACGAATCACCAGGTCCTCCGTGAGATTCTTCCCGACAAACTTGTGGAACAGGGAGACCGCCTCCTCCACCATGACGTCCCTCAGCAAAGTGGCCGCCGATGCCGGAAGGACCGGGAAGAGGCTGGGAGGTCCACCAGCTTGAAGTAACCGGGTCGGCCCTCAACCGGCACCAAGGAGACCGGTTTGTTCACATGAGCCGTGGTCTTCTGGGAAGCCGCCACGAAACCCCTCAGCCTCTTCGTGGGTGGTGTCTGTGCCTCCTCCGGTGGAGTGGCCCGCTCCGTGACGTCCGCATCTTCCATGTCCTTGTCCTCCTCCTCGGCGGGGCCAGGGGCACCCAAGCCGGAAGCCGGTGTGGCAAACGCCACACGGAGACGCTCCAGTGCACTGGAGAGGTCCTTCATCACGTCGGTAGCCGAAGCCGACGGGGGGGCCTCGGGCTCGTCCAAAACCAGGCCGGCCGCCACTGCCGCCTCGCGTGTGCGAATTTCCTGGGCCTCCTGGCTGGCCATTTCAACCTCCTCCACGGTGAGCGTCTGGTCCTCAATCAGCTCAAAGGAGGTGGCCGAGGTTGCCGAGGAAGCCATTGCTTGATCGGGGTTAGTTCGAAAGTGTCCAAACTCAAATTGTTTCACACAAATTGGGTTCTAGGAACCCAGGGCAAAGCTTGAGCCAAAATGGCACATGCCATTATGGTCAAGCATTTCAAACACAGTTCATGTTTCCACATGCGTTTCAACATTAACAAAACAGCGCATGCTGCACACCTCTATTGTCCCCATCCATGCCCTAACAGAACAAAGAAAACACTCTTGGACAAACAACATGTAAGTGTAAGCAAGCATCTTGTTGAAGCAGTGCCAGATCTGAAGATAGCTTTCTTGATGCCGATCAATGAAATGTCTTTTGTTGGCGGTCCGCACAGCTCTGTTGATGGAACACGTTGTCTGGCCAGTTTGCGCAACTCCTGTAGGCAACAGCAAGGTTCTGGGCAAGGCCGCAGTTTCTTCACGGCAATAGTTGATTTGGTTCACATCCACTGCTTGGCGTGCCTTTCGTTTCTGTGGTCAACGTGACTGACTCTTTTGGAGGAGGGTTGAAGATTGTGCAAGCACATTGTGAGATGCCAGCTATCACACTTCTTCACAAGGAATGCTCTCCAGGCTGCCATACCGGGATGCAGTCGGGGCATCATACCAATCAGCTCTGCTGGAGGGTCCTGCTCAACTCTTTGCAAAGAACAGCAGGGCCCAGGCAGGTCAGGCAAGGCGTGAACAGACTGACGTCTGAGATTCGCCCAACCCCTCCTGATTTCTGCACAGTGTCGGAAGAAGCCACGGGCGTGCAAGGACTCTCCAGATTGACATGGAACCTGAAACTCCATTACTCGAGGAATCTCCTTTGGTTGCTTCCTTTTCGTGCGTCCCATGGGTCCCGCAGCTTCCCCGAGGGAACGGAGCCGAGAAGTTGCGTTCTCGGGCTCAGCGGGGGGACATGCGGTCCCATCGCATGGACTCCAACTGACTCAGCTGATCTTCCAGGGTCGAAGCATCACTCGGTATGGACCTCAGTCAGAATGGATGTGGCCAGACGTGCACAGAAAATGGCCGAGAGAACATGCGCGAACCTCATGTTTTGCGAACGATTGCCAAAGCAACCAGCAGAACCAGTGGGGCCTTGGCCAAGCCTTTGAGAACCCCGAAGCGGGCGAAGCGAACGCGCAACTCTACCGTTCCCACGAACGGCCGCAAGGGTTTTGCCCTGGGGTCAAAGTATCTCCTTCGGGTCCATTTCAGGTAACATCGTCCCAGCACCAGCAATGGGAGGGACAAACACCTCTTCTTTCCCAGGCACGGAGGGAAACCAACGTGAAAAGAAACATGTATCCCCAAGAAAGGAACGTTCCACATGAAAGCAGTCGTAAACCACATGCATTTGTGTGGACGCTATAACTGGGCAAGCAGCATCGTGCGATAGCTCATTCAATTGCTGTGCCCATAGCCCCATTCGCCCTTAAACTGAAGCCATGCAAGTGACGTCCAACAAAGGGTGCCGCATTAGATATCCTGCCTTCACTGGGCTCATGATTCTATGATGATGTTCGCAGCTTCAAAGTCGGAGATTGGGTTCCGATCCGATCGCACCTATCTGGGCACGACCATTCATATGATCCCTTCTACTGTGACTGGGAAGCACCCAAGACTGTTCTCGATCTCAAAATGGAAAAATCCGGCTGAGGTGTTGTTTTACTCGCCCCGGGCGGTTTGCACTCGTTCAACACAAGGCCGTCCCCATGTACATCGGGGGTGGAAAGACCAAACCGGTTGGCTTTCCGCATCCCCATCCCCTGTCCCACCTCTGAAGTCCTTTCCAACCAAAACCGCAATGGGCTACCCCTCCAATGCGGATATGTCCCCTGCAAAATCGGGGAACAACAAAACAGCACATATGTCCAGTAGTGATAGATCCCCGTTAGAACCAGAAACACAAATATAACATCTCTCAGTTGATTCTTTGCCACGTTTGGCCCAAGTTCATTTTTCTTTCCGGGTTCAAAGGGGATTTATCACTACTAGACATATGTGCTGTCTTTTTTCCCCCGATTTTGTAGGGGGCGTATCCGCAATAGGAGGGGTAGCCCCTTGCGGTTTTGGTTGGACAGGAATTCAGAGATAGGACAGATGGGGATGCGGACAAGCCAACCCCAACGTCTTCTTTGCCACTGGTCCAAACCCAAGAAGTCTAGTTCCTCCAGCAGAGAGGTTAGAATAAGGGTACCCTTTTTTCTGTAGTCTATTTTAGTAGGGGAACCCTCCCAACCAAAAAAGAAACGGTAGAAAGGGCCCCAAGCTGGGGGAGCTAGACAAGTGGCTCAAGACTCAAGTCCGCAACCATGGGTGTCCTTCTAGGGGAAATAGATGGGTTTCCCTGATGAAACCACCAGGTAAACCAGGGAATCGCCATCTATTTTTCTGCCAAAACCAACCAAAAAGGGCAACCCCGCCCCCAACAAAAACGGGTGTTTGCCATGGTTTGCCTGTGGATTCCCTTAGCAGGGATCCTTACATTATACACCTGAGCACCTTGCCTTGTAAATGGAGGTGTCCCTCTATTTGGGTGGAAAAAGCCATGTTTCAAATGGTTGCGAAAGGTATCTTTTAAGGAGCCCTGACTTAGGGGAACGGCTTGGAAACTCCCACGGAAGCCACCGGGACCCGGGAGCCCTCGGTCCGTCTGGGGCCCCCGGGCGCGGCGAGGCTCTGCAGCAGCTGGCGCGTGAGCGTCTGCCGCAGCTTCTCCGCGGCCTCAAAGGGGCCGGGGCGCCAGGGCTGCACGACTTGGGGAATTGGGTCAAAAATAGGGCAACCCCAACATGGACCCTGCTAAATGAGAAAAAAATGGCTAAACTCCGCGGTTCTGACCCGTACCCAAGCCAGCTTGGTGGTGGCCAGTTTTGCTGGACTTTCCAACCGTAGCCCCTCCTGGTTTTAGGGAACATACCGGTGCAGTGAATCCTCATGTTCTTCACTTCCCCAAATAACCAGACTTTGACTCGGAATGTGAGTTAGAGGTAAAGACAACTCTGGACTTGTTATGAGCCAATCTGCTCAAGTGAGCTTTCCACTCCTTTGACTCACCTTGCATCCCCTGGTTTGTGGTCCCTTTCCCTTTCTTGGGTGACTTAAACGTAACCTTGAGGCTGCCATCTTCAGGTCAGCTTGCTTTGGACTAGGAGGTCGGACGAACAAACCCTAACCACCCAATTAAACAGGGGGGGGTCCGTCCCGCAAGAAGTGGTTTTTTGTATGTTCCATGTTTTTCACTGTAGGGCCGCATTTCGGCGAAATCAGCAACCCCCCCCCTTTCGAATAAATTGACGAACTGGAGTACTGTGTTGGTTGGATGATTTTCCAAGGTCAGCTGTTGATCGTCTCTCTGCAGTCAACTGGAGGTTTCATGGCACCAAAAGAGGGAGGCCATGCCAGAAAGAGGCTTTTCTCCGTGAGACCTTTCTTACTCAGGATGCCCAAGCCAGCAAGTCATAAACAATGATCATCATAAAATCACAAGAACCGAACTGAGCAAGAATATGTAATGTCTGGCCCCATGCACACAACCAGAAGCCGGACAACAAACAATCAAACAACGCAAAGCGATAAATTTAAAAAAAAAAAAAAAAAAAAAAAAAAAAAAAACATACAACAAACAAACAAACAAACAGACAGACAGACAGACAAGACAAGACAAGACAAGACCAGACAAGACAAGACAAGCCAAGTCAAGTCAAGCCAAGACAAGACACGACACGACACGACACGACAAACAAACAAACTAGCAAACACACAAATCAACCAACCAACCAACCAACCAACCAACCAACCAACCAGGCAGGCAGGCAGGCAGGCAGGCAAGCAGGCAAGCAGGCAGGCAGGCAGGCAAGCAGGCAAGCAGGCAAGCAGGCAAGCAGGCAAGCAGGCAAGCAGGCAGGCAAGCAGGCAAGCAGGCAAGCAGGCAAGCAGGCAAGCAGGCAAGCAGGCAAGCAGGCAAGCAGGCAAGCAAGCAAGCAAGCACACAAGATCCATCAAACACAGATGGAGAAACCAAACATTAGCAAAGCCGAGCAAACACAACACCAACCAAAGAAGAGCCTCACACAAAAACAAACCAAAAGCTAGACGCCAAACCATAAGCTAAACCAACCGAGCGCCAAACCAGGGACCCCGGTTGGCTCCAACCCGTGGAAAATCAGTCGCTCGGGTGATAACAAAGGCCATGCCCATGACTTGTTCCTCACTTTGAAGGGGATTTCCCAAAGGTATCACGGACATGGTTGGCGTTCTCAAAATCGTGTCATCTTAAGGTGGCTGCTTATTTGGGGTGTCCACTTAGATACCAAAAAAGGGTCCAGCATTTTGAGAAACACTAAAATCGGTCAAGGGTCTTTTTTTGGAGGCAAACCCTGATTTGCTTTTAAAGCTTGCAAAGCCAGAGGGCACCACCTTAGTTGAATCTCCGGCAAAACTTAGCTGGTCATCACCATGATTATATAACTTGGGTAGCCGGGGTTGGTCCCCTTACCATGGTTACCGCCTACTTACCCTTAATTAACATGGAACCTGACCGTTCGTGGGGTTCTCTGTGTCGACCATCTTCCTTTTAAAGGGACCATTTCGATGTCCCCAAACGTCAGGTTCCACGTTCAGCTTCCGCCTGTTACATGGCTAAAGAAAAGCAGATTGTCCCGAACATCAGGTTCCGGCTGCTTTGCTTTCTGCGAGGGTTGAAAGGGGTGGGGTTGCCGGAAATTCCACAGGAAAACCAGCTTCTGCAGGATGTTTTGGGGCCATTTCCTGCAGACAGATATTCCTCTAACCAAACCCTTTGAAGGCTACCTGTCCTCGGCGTCAACGCCCTCCGCCCCCCGCGCCCTCCGCGCCGCCCGCGCCTCCGGCGGCACGGCGCCGGGCGCCTCCGCCCGCACGGCCCCGGAGAGCTCCGCCACCCGGCGCCGGCCCAGCGCCGCGTAGTCCTGCGGCTGGCTGCGGCGGCGGGAGAAAAAAATCGGGCCCGGTGGGGATGCGCCCGTCGCCTTCTGGTTTCTCTTTTCTTGGGGAGGGCGGGGGGAGCGACGGAGTTGTTTTCAGGTGTTGTGTTTTTTTGGGGGGAGAGGTGTTTCTTTCTTCTTTTTGGGGGGGAGGGGGAGTCGGAGTCCTGAGCAAAGGACACGCCCAGGTGGGCGTGTCGTCTTTTTGTAGGGGGAGTCGGATTTTCCGCCAGCCTGGATTAGTTGAGTCCCAAAGTTTGGATCCGGAAATAGAGGGTGATCACCTTGGGATTCCGGGGTTTGGTGGTGAGCAAGTGTAAAGCCAAAAGGGAAAAACCGTTGCACCGTGTGGTGGCTTATTGTGAGCCCGGTGGAAAAGGGGGTGACCATTCTTAGGTTGACCAAAAGCACGCAAACCCAGGCTGTGAGAATTGCAACCACTGTAGCCAAGGGACCCCTTCAAGCAAAACCCTGAACCAAATCAGCTTTGCATCCAAAAGCCTCGAAGGGTTTACCAGGTTCGCCACCATTTCCCCGAAAAAAACATCATCCCACCAAAAGGAAACTCACGTTGAATCGACCCTCAAGTGGACACATCCAGCAGTCATTGATTACTTTAAACAACCAACAGAGATTATACCAAAAACGAAAAAACGAATCAACAACAACCAACAAAAACAACGATTCTTCTCAGCCAATGGAAGTTTGGTGAACTCCCCCAACCGGCCCGGAGAGTTTCTTCGTCGCCGTCCTCGCTGGACATGGCGGCGCTCGCGGAGGTGAAGTCGTGCATTTGCTGCGTGCGCTCCTGAAAAATGCGATCGTTGGAATTGAGGAACGGGGTATTTGGGCCCGTCTTTTTTGGGGGGTACCCTCCCTCCCACTAACATGGCAACTGACAGGGGCTCTCTTCAAAAGGAAAAACTCATATTCCAGGTACCTCCCCACAAATGCCATGTTAGTTGGAGCGAGTGTACCGGTAAGCTTTTTGGGGGTCGTTCGCAAATGGGCAACCGTAAGGAAAGCCACCTTTCTTGGGGGTCCCCTAAAAAAGAGAGACCAGCCACCTATTGGATAATTGAGGCAGGGGTATGCCAATATGGGGGGGGACCCCTATGGTCGGTTCTTTGGTTCCCCTAAATAAGAATAAGCCGTCCTTATCTGAGATTTCTAGAGTAGGATGGCCCTGAAGGCAAAGTAGTCACTGTCCACAATGACCTGATCGCCTTCATCAACCCTAATCTCACAGCGCATTATCAGCAAGCCTGGTCACCAGTATGTCATTCTGCGCCATGTTTCGCCTAAGAGGGTCTTGGCCAACGGCAGTTTGCACCTTTCAAGATTCGACCAAATAAGTTGCCGAACAACCTCCCGACCTTGTTAGGCGCGCTACACAGTCGTCTGCGCTTTATCGAGCAAGCTGATGAGCCAACCATGTGTACCATTCTATGTACTGTTTCATAAATGCTTAAAACAAGTGCCCTCACTATGCAGTCGAGTGAATTTCAAGGACACTTGAACACGTCTCTTGTGCCCTCTGAGCGTGCTCGAGAAGCACAGTGGTCCTGCATGGTTTGCATATTCACTGTGTGTGTGGGTGCGAAGCTCGAAGAACGGAATGAAGGAGGTTCTTGGGTAAAGTTGTTGAACCCAATACATCGGTTTGATACTCGGCGCCGGAAACACAAAACAAAAACACATGGCACGCGTGGCACGCGACAAGGAGGGCACGGCTTCAATGTCCCCCTTCGTATTTGCCGGGGACACGGGTCCAAATTCTGCGACCGTTGGGAACTGAGACGCGGCGCGGCGGCAGATCCTCTTTCAAAATGGAAACAAACGGGGGGTGATCCAACAAAGGGTAGGGTTTTGACCCCCCCCTTTTGTTCGGGAAAAGCGGAAGTCTTATGTAATCTAGTCATGTAATGTCAGGTAAGGTAGTGCAATGTAGTGCAATGTAGTGCAATGTAGTGCAATGTAGTGCAATGCAGTGTGGTGGACATGTATGGAAATTTGATCCAATGTCATGTCATCTCGCGGAATGCATTCCATCACGGAACGTCATGGAATGCGCATAATCCATCTCCCTGATACAGTGACTCAGCCGCACCTGGGGTGACCCCGCTTCGGCGGGTGGAGAAGCCGGTGGGGGTTTGCCCTGCCTGCGTGCGCCTCTCCAGCAGCCGGTCCCGCTGCTGCTTCAGGTGCTCGGCCCGCCTCGGCTTTCATGCGGCCCGCCTTTGAGGCAGAGACCCCCAGGCGCCAGGCAAAGCGTTTCTCAAAGAAATCAGTGTCCGTTCAGGAGACCTTCAAATGCGGTTCTTAGAGGCAACCAGAAGGAAACCACCCACATGAAAGGGGCCGGGGCGCCTGATTCTGAGAAAATCCATTGCAGGGAAGGCCCTCCCCAACAAAGGGAAAGGAACTCCACTGGAGTTCTGAAAGGGTCAAAGACCGAAATCCAGTCTTGTACCCAACTGGAGGGAAAGAAAAAACATGCCGGGAAAGCAAAAGCAAGACGCACTCGCTGTACAGTGGCTGATGTTCCTGCAAGGTGGGTTTGGTGAATCCTCAGGCGCGTCCTTCCCTCCAAGCATTGCCTGAGTTTCCTTGTGCCCAACCATCCGCATCCACATCACACATGCAGCTGTCATTTTTTTGGGGGGCAACTTCCTTTTGGTCGGTTTCAAACGGAAAAATGGAATCGTCTACTTCCGGGTGTTTCTTCATTTTGGGTTGCCAAACACCGCCCTCCCGCCTCCTCCTCTCCTCCGCACTGGGACCCGTATCGTCCAGACAGAACCCCGCCGCATCCGCCGCCGCGCGAGGAGAACTCTCGGCCACCTGAGAGGCGCGGCGACGCCACAGCGCCAAGTTGGCGCGGTACTTCTCCACCCCCGCCACGGAGGGCTCCTCTGCGCAGCCAAGTGAAGCGAAGTGAAGCAAAATGCGGGGAGCGGCTTTTTGGGGATGGGGAAAGCAAGCAAATTGCTTTTCATGGGGAAACTGGGGGAAAAACCATAAGGAACTGTGGCGAAGCTGGCACTTTGAGCCCGATACATTGACTTTTTGGGTCCCCATTTTGTAAGGATACTCTTTTTTGGGGTTGGGAATTCACGGGAAACCAAGATGAACCAGTCGCTTTTGGGGGGTCTCCCCCTTTTGTGGCACAGCATACTTGGTGTTTGAGCCCGGGGTCTAGGGTCTGGGGAGGGTCCAGGGTCTAAGGTCTTGGGTTTAAGAGTTTAAGGTGTCAGGGTCTGATGAGCCCACAAGATACTTGGTTTAGGGCTCAAGACTACATTGGCTTCGGCCAAGGGACCTTGGTGAAGTTGTGGATGCCGCGAATCCCACTTGACTAGGAAAGAAATCAGATCTGCGTGGGAAGAATGCACCATTCCTGTCGTGGAACAAGAAATTGAGTTGCTCGGGCAATTGCCGCGGTTGCCCAATTCATGATTCTTCCTTGCTAGATTCGGACTACCACTATGGCCATTGCCCCAGTCATCTAATCCGTTCCCTCTCCGAATAGATGCACCCTGCTAATTTCTAAACATACTTTCCGCAGACCCAACATGTCCCGTATAAGGGGCACTTTGGAGCCAATTGCTATAGATCCTCAGCCCAAAGCTGACACTCGCTTCGAAAGGACTTGGTCTTTGAGCGAATGCCCGTCGAGTTATATCGAGTATGATGATTGCATGGTGTACTAAGAGGGGTGCTCCATGTAAGTGTTCTAAACCAACATGAGGGAATTGTGCCATCTACTTTCACCCGGCACAGCACAACGGCTGAGCCTAAGTGCAAGCACAAGCTCCTCCTCCTGCTCCGGCTCAGGCGGCGGCGGCGGCGGCGGTGGGGCTGATGGGGCGGACTCAGACGCCGGGGTCTCTGAAGGGGCCGCCGGGGGATCCACCCGCCTGGGGTCGGTTTACCCCAAGCATATTCTTGGGGTGGTTGAAGTCTACTTTCTTGAGTCCAACTTGTCTGTTTCCAAAGTTGACTCCTCAAGTTGATTCCTCCATTTTTCTGCCAACCCACGGGGCTTCAAAAGAAATATGTACCATCCACCAATTCACATGGAACCTTCCAGGGGGTCCCTTTAAAAGGCAAATGGTTGTCAGGTTCCATGCCAAGTGGTGGGAGGGTATCAAAACCAACGCCCAAATGATCCAAACGCCGCGCGCCTCGGCGCCCGGCACAGGGGCGAGGAGATGAACCCCGCGCGCCCCGGCAGCCGCGGCACCGCCGCCGGCGCCGAAACCGCCGCAGCTGCTGGCGGGTCCGCCGGCGCCGGGGGCGGCGCCGGCGGCAAGTGGGGCCTCGACATCAAAGGCGCCGAGGTGAAGCCCCAGGGCTTCTTGGGCACCGCCATCCTGAGGCAACGGCCAAGCAGCCTGTATGCAAAGGGTTGGTGGGCAAACAGGGAGAATATAAGACAGCCCTTTTGAAGGGTTGATGGGCAAACAGAGAGAGAGAGAGAGACACCAAAAAAAAGGCACAAAGAGCACGACCATAGAGAAAAAACATTGAGCGACATGGCCTTCAGTTAGAGCTACAATTTCAACACGTCACAAGAGCATTAACAACCTAACAAGAAGCATAATTAAACCTGATCTGAACCGGGCATCGGCTCCACCTGCACAACCGGCATGTCCGTAAAGGGCTTCGGGGGCAGGGGAACCAAAGGCGCCGAGATGAAGCCGGCGCTCGTCGGGAGCTGCGGAATTGGAAGCTCCTGGCGAAAAAGAAGAAAAGAGCAGACTTCGCTGGATCTGTGGGTGTTGCGTTTTTTTTTTGACAATTTCTTTGGTGCCCAAATTGTAAAATGACGAAGCGGCATCTTAAGATAGTCCATTTACAACAGCGGCAAATGCAACTTGCTGAGGCCAGATGGGGAAGGATTTCGCACAGAAAGAAAAGCTGGGAGCTGATCTTGGCACTGCCTGCAGGCGGCCAACTTGAGCAACGTCCCTGCGAAACGAATCTCTGCTGAACGTAGATTCCTAGCCTACCCCCCCTCCCTAGGCGGCTTTGCGTCGTATGAACCCATGAAAACAGCAGCGTCTCACTTTCTGAGATGATTGGCCAGAAAAAGTTTACACTTCTTGTTGTCCAAACCCAAAATAGTATAAAGTCCGAAAGGGAACTGAGGCGAGACCATGGGGGTTCTTACCTCCAACGGCCACAAAGGCGAGCCTCCGCTATCTGCCGCAGCTTTTCCTCTTCGATGCTCAGAGACAATGCGATTGCCTCACTCTGCAAGGTGGCATCGGGCAATTGGGTGACATGAAGCGGGCATTCTGAAGAGAATGTTTCGTAATTAGGAAATGGGGAACACGCAACACGTGTGGGAGACGAGTGTGTGCGTGTGTGTGTGTGTGCCTGAGTGGGAGGGCGCGTGCGAGCGTGGGTGCGAGAGTACGGGGTGCGTGGGCGTCTGGGTGCGTGTGTGTATACATAGATATTATATCTTGTTCCAGGCCGTGGGCCCCCCCCCTTCGCGGTGTTGGGTGGTTGGTTGGGTCGTTGGGTGGTTGGGCGGTTGGGCGGTTGGGTGGTTGGGTGGTTGGGTGGTTGGGTGGTTTGGTGGTTGGGTTGGGTGGGCGGTTGGGGCGCGGGTTGTCCTTGTTTACAGGGGCTGCAAGCGCCAATTTGTGTAGGGGTAATTTGTCTAAGGCAATTTCGAACAGTCTCTCTCTCTCTCTCTCGCTCTCTCTCTCTCTCTCTCTCTCTTTCTTTGTCTCTCTTTATTTTCCGCTCTTTCTTTTTCTCTTTCTCTTTTTCCATCTCTCTCTCTCTCCTCTCTCGCAAATTTGTTCTTTTCGCACTTCTTTCATCGCCAGCTAACAGCGCAATGTTTCGAGTAGGGCTGGGGCACACTTGATACATCGTTTGATTGCCGAGTGCTAGCAGTCGCAGTTGCGAGAACTGGATCTATTGCTTGCAAGGCGCAAGTGTGAGGGCGTTGGTGGCGCGTGAGTGCGTAATTCGCCGCAGCTATTGACTCAAGTTGAACTTGGAGCCAGACAAGGCGCGGAACAGCGGGCCCGCCACGCAAGAAGCACTGTTGGAAACCAAGAAACGTCGCGCCTGGCTTCATATCGGTAATCTGAACCATGTCAAGTTTCCCTGGCTTAAACACGATCCCCCGGCTGTTTCGGCGCCATGATGTATTTCAAGTTCAGACCTCGGAAACTCAAGTCTGAGGTGTGGGCGGGTTAGGAATCCGCCAGGTCAGCCCTGATCATCTTCAGGCGCTGTTTGCGCACCACGTTTCATGTCCATCAAGTGGGTTGGGAAGTCCAAAAGCAAGTGCTGGCAACACTAAACCAAGTTGTGGTTACCCAAATGGAAGTGTCGGGTAAGTGGTGGCAATCCAAAAGGAAGTGCTGGCAATACTGAACCAAGTGGCAACCCCAAAGGAAGCGCTGGTCATACTAAACTAAGTAGCGGCAATCCAAAAGGAAGCGCTGGCAACACACACCACCTGCGCTCCTCAGCCCATTTTTCTTCAAACGGCCCTTGCCAGTGGATCATCCTGCACGCAAGCATGAGCTGCCTCTCCATGGCCTCCTGCACGCACGTCGAACATGTCTCCATCTCATTGGTCCGGGATGAGCTCATCATCCTCCTCGTATCTCAAACCCGACGGCAAGTCCCTTCCGAGACGAAGCCCTTACAGGCTTACGGGCCGTGTACCAGCCTTGCGTGGGCGCGCTGGAGCACAGGGCGGGCAAGACCCCCGGCTCAGCTCCATGGACCGCCCCCCGCCACTGCCCTCACCACTTTCGGCTTCCCCCATTTGGCGCAGCAGGCTGCACGGTGACTCAGCCGTAGCAGCGAGGCAGCCGCGGCTGCGGCATCAGCGCCGGCCGCCGCAGACATTGCCCGCTCTTGAAACCCATCAGTCAGCCAGAGACCAACCAGCTAACCAAGCAGTTCAGAAACGGATGAGCCAACCAAAAGCCAAGCGCTCAGTCAAACAGCGAGTTGAACCACTAAAAACAATCTACCCCCCAAAACTGAAATCAAACAGAGATACAACCGCGGACCGCAGCCGACGCTCCCAGCAGAAAGCAATGCCTGCCAAGAGGCCGTAGAAGGTGCCCTTGTTCTGAACCGAGTCTCTCTTTTCAGGCTTCGCCGGCTGCGGCGGCTCGTCGACTTCGGCTCCCTGAGCGGCTTGTTCTTCGTGAGCCTTCTTCGCCTCTTCATACCGACGGAGATCTTGCCTGCAGCGCTTGGAACGCAGTCCAAGTTCGCTACGGCGGCATACTTGGAAAGTTCCCGAATCTCTTGATGATTCAACATGGAGAGGCCGGCGATGGCAAGTCGATTTCCTTGTGGCTCATTCTTCAGATTCTCTACTACTTCGACTCCATCGCAACCAAGCCAAGGAGACAATGATGAGGAGGTGCACATATGCGCAGCTTTGGTGCAGGCTAGTTGCCCGCGCAAGCGCCCCAGCAAAGCGCCAAGAGAACTGGGCGTTACGCGCCAGGTCCTCGGATGGGAAAGGGCAGCAGCGCTCCAGCAGCTTAGTCACGTCGCGGATGTCCTTGCCAGTCATGACAGGCGGCTCATTTGCTTGAGCGCTGCAGCGCGCTCTCTTTGCACCCGAAGTCAAGCACACCAGGCGCAAGCAGCAACAGCGCGGCAGGCATCTTGGTGATCTTCAGCGGCATCGCCAAGACCAAAATCGATCGGTGCAGCTGGGTAGGCAAAGTTTGAGCAAAATGCTGGCGAACTCATGCGGTGACTACACGCAACAGTGCAACAAATGGGCAGGCCTAGCCATAGCAAGCATGAAGCCAGCTTGTTTCTCCAACGCTCCGTCTGTCTTCAATCGGTCTCAGCGCTGCGTCTCAGCGTGGTCGATCCGGGTCATGCTTCATTCCACCCCGAGCAAAGCGACGCCGCAAGCACGCGGCTTTAGCCTTCAGCCAAGAGTTGTGCTTCTGCAGCAAGGTCCACCAATAGATGGCGAACCGCCCGGGTGGCATCTCCAAACTTGACTTGGTCCGCCCAGTGATCCAAGAGTTAAGCTGCTCGCAGGCTTCTGTGTTCTTGTCTGCCAGCAAGTCCACGTTGCGGCCAAGATCAGGGTTCACCGCAGGCAGGTGCTCGAGGCAACAGGTGTGGTTCTTCTTGTGGAAGTGATCTAGGATGATGGCGGTCTCGTCGGCAAACAGAGCCAACAGAGCCGACCCAAAGGTGGTCAACAACTACTCCAAGCCTGGAAAGGTCCCTGCTAAGCTTGCACCAGCATTCGCCTAACGGGGTCGCCCACACTCCACGACGGCAAAAGCCCGTGGAAGCTGGTGACCCATGGGCAACGCAAACAAACTTGTGCACCTTGCAGAAAAGCTCTGGCTTGATGACCCTATGGGCCAGAAGTTGCGCCACTCTTCTCGGTCGTCTTCCTGGTGAAGCATGCGGCTCGCCATGGCAAAGTGCTTTGGAAAACCTGACGGGCACAATGGCTGCACATTAAGCCCAATGCTGGGGCGTCATGACAGAATGGTTCGTAAACAAAACCATACAACATCTAATCTGCTTGCGGCTGTTGCCCATGTTTGACCAAAAGGTGGTCAACAACTCTCAAAAGCCTGGAAAGGTTCCTGCTGATCTTGCACCAGCATTCACCTAACCAGGACAAAACATGGGACAACATTGTTATCCGGGGGGAGGGGACCCTACCCTTTGGGGGGGTTGGTGGCCTGGGGACTGGAACATACATGTTTGCGTCTGTGTGTTTGTGTGATTGTGTGATTGTGTTTGTGTAACTGTTTCTTTGTTTGATGATTCTTTTGGCCGGGTGGCTGGTTGGTTGGTTGGTTGGTTGGTTGGTTGGTTGGTTGGTTGGTTGGTTGGTTGGTTGGTTGTTTGGTTGGCTGGCTGGCTGGCTGGCTGGCTGGCTGGCTGGCTGGCTGGCTGGTTGGTTGGTTGGCTGTGATTGACTGATTCTTTGCTTGTTCGTTCGTTCGTCGGTTTGTTGGAATTGACTGACTTTTGTTGTTTGTTTGCTTGTTTGCTTGCTTGCTTGCTGGCTGTTTGGTTGGTTGGTTGGTTGGTTGGTTGGTTGGTTGGTTGGTTGGTTGGTTGGTTGGTTGGTTGGTTGGTTGGTTGGTTGGTTGGTTGGTTGTGCGAAAGTACACCATGCATTCCCACTTGGATGTAATTCATACTGATTACCATTGCATGGCTCAAGGATGACAAAGGTGCATTTGCTGCCTTGGTTGATTAGCAGAGATTAGTCTCTGATTTTCCCATGGTAGCGGAGCTCGAAGATTCAGGAGACCTTAGGGAAACCTGATTCTGAGAGCTGCCATGGCACTCGGACAAGATGAGGATTTTGCAGGAAAGCTAAGACTTCCCATGCCAGGGAAATTCACTGGCAAGCCAGAGGACTGGGAAGATTGGAGCTGGGATTTCAGGACATATTTGAGCATGTTCCTGCCAGATTCAACAACGATTATGGACCGCATTGAGGCCAACGCAGACACACCCATTGAGGACGCGCATTTGAATGTAGCGGGTAACCAGGATGCCACAGACAGAAGGACTCAGAATTCCCGAAGGCTGCATTATTTGTTAGCAAATTTGTGCAGTGATTCAGCAAGGCTGGTAGTCAGGCAGAACATTGGCTGCAATGGTTATGAAACCTGGAGGAGATTGTATTCCAAATTTGCATTGCCGGACGCAACACGGCACATGAGTTTACTTAGCCAGATTTTGGAATTCAAGTTTCACTCCAATACATTTGAACAAGATTTCAACACCTGGGAGACCATTAAGGCCAGATATGAATCTCAAACCGGCCAAGCCATTCCTGATAGCATTCTGGTGGCTACCCTCTTGAACAAGACAACAGGCCCATTGCAACAGCATTTGAGGCTCAATGCTTCGGCATTGTTGACCTATGAACAAACACGAAACGTGATTGTGCAGTACCACCATTCCAGGCACATTCTTAGGAACATGCCGGGGAATGACAACCAAGGACCAGCACCCATGGACATTGGGGCGCTGAAAGGATTCAAAGGAAAAGGCAAAGGCAAAGGATTCAAAGGATTCAAAGGAGCCAAAGGACCACATTGGTCATACAACAAAGGAGCATTCAGCAAAGGAAAAGGAAAAGGAAAGGATTTCAAAGGCAAAGGCAAAGGAAAGGACCCAAAAGGAAAAGGAAAGGATTCCAAAGGAAAAGGAAAAGGGTCGATTGCAACCTGCTGGATTTGCGGCTCTCGCGGCCACATTTCCAGAACATGTCCGCAGAGAGCTGTGAGCGGAGTGATTGAGGAAGATTGGAATGAAGAATGGTCCGAAGAGCCCTGGCCTGATTCGTCGTGGCCTGATGGCTCATGGGACATTGCTGGATTGAGTTGGGATGAAGGAGAAGATTGGTCCTGGGATTCGTCTTGGGGATCATGGGATTCTGTGAACTCTTGGGACCACCCTTGGGATTGGTTTCAGGACAGTCAGATTCCAGAGCCTCCTGCTGGATGCGATTCTGCCGCGTTTTCATCGGCAGGACCACCCCCAGCAGGAGATTCACAGCAAGGAACCATTGGAGCAGTGACACAGGTGCCGCCGGGATTGAGTCCAAACATTGGCTCAACTCCCATTCGGCCAAAGGCAAAGCCAAAGGCCTCATCATTTTTGATTGCTGCACTTGTCATGAATTCGGTCACCTCAGGATCATCCTTTCAGATTCCTGCCACTCGTGGCAGTCCGTCTGAGGGTGAAGGTGAAAGTTGGATGACATTTGGAGAGCATGAAAGATTGTTTAAGTCGATGTATTGCTTGGACACTGGATTGGATAGCATGCCATGTT